CATCTGCTTCTTTGCATTATTCTCCGTTACTTCATAGACTCAGCATACTCATTGCTTCAGGAATGGCATGCGGATTTTAAGCTACAAAATGTATTTAAGGACTAAGTGGATGATTGCATATGTAAGAGTGTTTGCAGTGCAAGTATGAAGACTCTAGTACCTACATAAAAATGTTGGTAATGGTTTTATTTTACCATTGTAATTACAATGGTAATGTCAATCGGCATTGAGAAGTAAACACAGGAGATCTCAGGTGCTTATTGGCTAGTCAGATTTGTCAAACTTCAAGTTTACAATTAACTGAAATAGTAAGTCAAGACAATAGAAGGAAAGCCATAAAGCTATAGAGGAGAACTTTGAATACATTGTTATTGACTCCGTATATATGTGCCTTTGCATAAACCAGCCACCAATACCCACCCACTCCACTTAAATCCACAAATACTACAACACACACATACAAACTTCTTACTCATGACTTTTATGTATAAAAGCATTCTTTTACTATTTATTTAAATTTTCATTTCAGTTGAGGATAATGCAGAAAACTTAAAAAAAACTAAACAGTATCACAAAGGGAATCTTGTCTTTTGACTGTGACTATACATTTTTTTATTTAAAAAATCCATTTATAATGATTATGTATTTAGATTTGTGTATTTTTACATTTAATGTGCAATGTAAATGCTGTAAAAATTTATGCAAGAGTACATTCTTTTCTGTGTAGATTAAGTCTTTTGTGACTATGAAGACAATGAAAGCATTTTATATCAATGTATAAGGTTTTGATGTACTGAATTATGGACCCTCTGAAATTATGTACAAGCTACCTATTTAAATTATAATTCTTAATGTCTAAAAATAGAAATGTATTTAAAAATTTGGAATTAAAATTTAAGTGATTGGTAAAAATGGACACATTTGTCCATTTATATATTTATTATAAACACGTGTCTGCATATTACATAGTAATATATACTTTTTAAAATATTGATAAACACAGAAGTTAGAAATTTTGGTATGATTACCTGCTTCTGGTGATGATTAGATAAAGAAATAAGCACAAATCATTGTCAGACACTTCCTGGATACGCACAACAGTTACTACAACATGTACAAGACTAGTACAGGCTCCAAACAGACCAAAGCCTAGCGTGAAGAGGGGAGTGGGGCACCAAGTTCCACATCTAACAAAGGAGCTCTTGGAAAGTGTTAGCTTCTGTTATAGCAAAGGCCAATTTCCAAAATAAAAAAAAAAGTGTATCCCCCAATAAATCAACAATAATCCAGTGGAAACCTACACACATATCCAGGAATATTTAGACAGCACAAACTCCATTGAAGTGAGAAAAAAAGACACAAAACTTGTTGGAAAATCAAGGTGGGTAGATATGGAAAGAATTAAAGGAAGAGGGCATGTACAAAATTAACAAAGAACAAATGAAAATATTTTAAAAATTATAAAACTTATGCAAAAATTACTATTGTACATGGATGGCACTGAGAAACATTTACCAGAAACGGAATATTGCATCACCCTAAAATGACTCCCAGTGTTTCTTCAAAATAAATTATGCAGTACTATAATTCTGGGAATAATAGATTAATTTAATTGTTTTAAAGGTTAATCTAAATATAGTATAGTGTTTATTTAGTGATATTGGTGTTCTTCTATGTGTTCGAATGTGTAGCTCATTCATTTTGTGTTATTTCTGATTAGTATTTCATTTAACGAGTATAGTTTATATTTTTAATATTATTTGGAGTATACCTATATGTAGTGCAATGAACTTGGTTTATTCTGGACCTAGTGAAATAGATGCATATAAATACAAAGGAGTGGGCATATTTGGCATCATTTAATTAATCAAATCTCTTAGGTAATCCGCTGATCCACTATAAGTACTTTATAAGTACTTGCATTTTGGAATATTATGATTTGCCAATCTTGTGTACTGAAGTTTTTGTGTATGTGTTAGTCATTGAAATTTGCTCTTAATTAGGACTGTTTTAAACATTGTGATTTTTTTTTCTGCCTCAGTTTCACTGCAGTCTGGGTTCAGGTCCTGAGACAAAGAAAGGGCATCAGTGCAAAGAAATGCACTGTTTGACCACCAGATGATCCTCACATAAGTGGCCAGTCCCAAATAGCTCCAACTATCTTTATTGATATAACCGAAGCAAGCATGTTTTTCCATACTAACAAACAACTGTTTCCCATCCTATGGTGTTAACTTCCAGCAAAACCAAATATATCAAATGTGTTTTTTTTCCCAAAACATTTTTAAGCCAAAACTAGCACATCCTACATTTACAAAACTAACATAGGCACATTGACATAGGCACACATTTTTAAGAACAACAATCCTGATCAAAAGATATTTACAGAAATTTGAGTGATCTGTCTGTGATCCTGTCAGCACTGAATCAGAACAGTTCCCAGGGTCTGAAGTGGTAAGTGGCATTCCCAGATGAGCAAAGGGGCCAGGCTAACAATGAGGAAACCCACAAAAATAGCTGACTCTAGCTAGTGGGAGTTCACTGACCCTAAACTGACAGCTGCTGAACCTGTGTAAGACTCAACTAGACCCTCTGAATGTGGGTGACAGTTGTGTGACTTGGGCCATTTGTGGGGTCACTAACAGTGGAACCAGTATTCGTCCCTAGTGCGTGAACTGACTCTTTGGAGGGATATCTTGCTCAGCCTAGAAACAGGGGGCAGGGAAGGGGTCTTGGTCTTGCCTAAAGTGATGTGCCAGACTTTGCTGACTCACCATGGGAGACATCACCCTCTCTTAGGAGTGAATGGGGGATGGGGTGGGAAGAAGGTGGAGGGAGTGGGAAGACAGGAGAGAGAGGGAACAATATAAAACCTGAGAAGCATCAGTTCCCAAAGAATTTTAGGGGACAATACTTGGGAAAAATAATGGGGTTTCCAGGAATGATCACATCTGTCCAATGCATGATTGAGAAAATGACAATAAAACCTCTGAGATAATCATCACTATTATAAGAGAGAGGAGAGCATGTAGACCGTGTGGTCCCAGCAGTATTGTGTGTATTGTCCGCTGTTTCTTGCCAAGTGAGATTGTCCCAGCGGAATGGGCTTCATCTGGAGACCCATTGTGCAAGCATTCATATCCTGGTGAAAACTCGGCCACACAACTCCTGACATCTTTCTCTAATCCAGAGAAGCAGCGTACATGAAATGTTTTAATTTTTATTCTTTGTTGACACCTGTGGTAGTAACATTTTTTTAAAATTAAAATTGATTTATAAAGGAAAACAATTCTTTGAACTGCACTTTGATTTCAAACATGCTTTATTGAATTAAGGGGTGAACTGGGTCAATACTTAGGATAAAGTCTTAACAGAATTTTCTTTGCTTGTTTGTGCTTCACAACTTCATACCTGAACTAAAATATTTATTCCATGCAGAAAGTTAAACATCTTTGAGAAGAATGCATCAAGGAATAGTTTATAGTAAAGAAATTGTGAAATAAGAGCTGAGGCTGTCTGATTTTGGGAAAACAGGAAAGAACCAGTGTTTTAGAGTCTACACAATTTTATGTAAGCTTTCAATGAAAACAAGACACCTAGGATGGTTTCACAATGACCTCTGAAGTACCAGTTATCTTTCCTACATAATCACCATTAGATTTTTTTAAAAAATGTTTATAATGAAGCAGTACATGGTCAGATGACCATAATTCATTTGAGGTTTTCAGTCATAAACCATTGTGACTTGAGACTATAAACCCAAACTTATTCATGAGAACTCTTCATGGTGTCTAATTAAAAAAATTTTTCCTTGATGTACAATTTCTCCTTAATATATAAAATATTATCTTAAGTTGATTGACATTTCATTTTGAGGTCTGATCTTTTGTTTGACACTTAGAGCTTAGTTTTTATTTAAAGAATTATTTTCTATTGTAATTACATTTTTTCTTGTCTCTTCTTTAGCTGGCATATTCTTCATGGCATAATCTTATTTAACCTTAATGCTCAATGACTACTGTAAATATATATATATATTACTAAGTCTATAGATTGCATTGAGTCATTTTAATTAGGAATGATTTTTCCTTTTTAAAAATTCAGCTCCAAGCTGAGCTGGGCAGTGAGGGTGCATGCCTTTAATCCCAGCATTCGGGAGGCAGAGACCAGAGGATCTCTGTGAATTTGAGGCCTTCCTAGTCTATAGAGTGAATTTCAGAACAGATTTTAAAGCTACACAAAGAAACCCTGTCTTGAAAAACCATAACCAAAACAAAGCAAAGCAAAACCAAACAACAAAAAAACAAAGACTAAGCCGAAACAACAAAATTTGCATTTTCCACATTTATAAACTATAGCAAACTATAGCATGCATAATAAAAACTCAGAGACAAATATTGGGGTTCAAGCTACAGATCATAAAAGCAAAAGAGTCAAGTCACTAGAGAAGTCTTACTTCTTCTAAGACTGGGCAACTACAGACTGAGCCCTGAGCTTCTGTCTCCTCCCATTTTACAATCCCTTTATTGCTGGGATTAAAGGCTTGTAACTCCCTAGTACTAGGAATAAAGGTGTAAACTACCACCACCTGGATCTGTTTCTGCAGTGATCTTATGTAGCCCAGGGTGGCCTTGAACTCACAGAGATCCATCTGCCTCTGTCTCCCAAACCCTGGGATTAAAGAAGTGTGACACCACTACCTGGCTTCTAGTGGCTTAGTTTTACCCTCTAATCTTTAGACAGGATTTATTTATTCAACATAAATGAAATATCACTATAATAAGCTTTAATTTCCAGTGTGACTTTGAATAGCATTTGAGGATTTTAATTAGTTAGTACGGTGTGTTTTATTCTTTTGAGTTGGAAAAGAAGCAGGTGCTTGCATAGAGTGAATTCTTTATGAAGAGATTTAAACTTGCTGTTTACTTTTACTATTAAATGATCTCATGTGTATCATGGTCTGAAAAAATATGAAAACTGTGTGACTGAATATTGAGGTATTAAGTGTGGATTCTGAATCCATGAGTAAAAGTTCTCTTAAGGGCCTCTTTTACTTCTTTATTTCTTAGACTGTAAATCAATGGATTAAGCATAGGAATGACTAATGTATAAAACACAGAGGCCATTTTATCAATATCAAAAGCATGACTGGATTTGGGCTGCAGGTAAATAAACAACAGAGTTCCGTAGAATACAACCACCACTGTCAGATGAGAGCTACACGTGGAGAAGGTTTTGGACCTTCCTTCCTTTGAGTTCATCCTGAGAATTGTCACAAAAATAAACATGTAAGATATGAGAACAATTAAGAGGGAGGAGAGTAAATTACAGCCTGAGAAAATTAATATGACCAGCTCTAATTCATGTGTGTCAGCACAGAGCAGAAATATCAGAGGGACAGAGTCACAATAAAAATTCCTGATTACATTAGAGCCACAAAAGGACAGTGTAAATAGCTTAACTGTGAGAAGTAGAGACACAAATATACTCTTGGTCACCCTGGTGGGCAATCTGGGCATGGTTATTCTGACTCATTTGGACTCTAAACTATACAACTCCTATGTACTTTTTCCTGAGACATTTATCAATCACTGATCTTGGTTATGACCACAGATAGGGTACCAGAACCAGCGCCCAGCGCATTTTCCCTGACATGATGATCACATAGAGAAGAGGTTTACAGATGGCTACATAACGATCATAGGCCATGGCTGAAAGGATAAATAGCTCAGTAATGATGAAAATCTCAAAGAATGTCAGCTGCACAGCACACCCAGTGTAGGAAACGGTATTTTGCTGCATAATAAAGTTTACCATCATTTTTGGACCAATAACTGTGGAGTAACCAAGATCAGTGACCAAGTATATGATTAAAAATATTCCAAAGAGTGGTGCCTTCAGGATGGGGCTGGAGGTGAGTCCAGGAGAATAAACTCAGTAACTTGGATCTTTGCAGTGTGGTTGAGTTTCCCCATTGTGTTTAACAGTGACAACTTGCGTAGGGAGTAGGTTTAATATAAGTTATTTTTGAAATAGTACGTCAAGAACATGCATATAAGATATGTTTTTCTCATATGAAATCGCCAGTTTTGCTCCAGCTCAGAAATATATAAAACACTATTTATATTCCACAAAATTATGATACAGTGGACCTTAAAAGAGCAGAATAATAAAAACATTAGAATGGTCTTCATTTTGTTTCCTTATTTCATTCTCTATTATTTATTTATTTATTAGATTTTTAAAACATATCAATTCAAGTTTCCACCCACTTCCTCTTCCCATTCCTTCCACATAACCCATCCCCATCCAATCCTCAGAGATGGTAAGGTACATTGCTTTGGGGATGGTCCAAGGCTCTCCCTACTATATCTAGGCTGAGCAGGTATACATCCAAAAAGAATAGGATCCCCAAAAACCTGAACATGCAGTAGGAATAAATCCTGGTGCCACAGTGAACTATCAGTCTGCCTCAACAATTCAACTATCAACCACATGATTTTTGACAAAGAAGCTAAAATTATACAGCTCTCTCTCTCTCTCTCTCTATATATATATATGTATATATATGTATATATGTATATATATATCCCTCTTTTCTTTCCTCCCTCCCTATGTATATCTCTCTCTTCCCCTCTTCCCCTCCTACTCTTCCTTTTCCTTCTTATTCTTTTGTCCTCCAATTTCTCCTTTTTGGTATATTTTTAACTGCTTAATATTAATGCTATTTCTGTTAACACCTTTCCATGTTTGTCTGAAATATGCTACTCAATAACATTACCTGGAAATCCTTGGTAGTTTGACTACCTTAAAGACAATTTTTAACTGCACCAATGATATTTAGCATTCAAACACACAGAGTAATGTACTTTGACTAATATATATATATAAATATAATTATATTTATATATATATATATAAATGACTCTTTAAACTTTCATGGAACACATACAGAATTATAAAAGAATATTTATTTTTATGTGTATGTGTGGATAACTACATGAATTTTTGAGCTCTAGATGTATTCAGCTTCTCATAAGGACAGAAGCCCTGAAATTTTAGTTTCAGACCGTTGTGATTCTTTGGTGTAAGTGCTGGAAACTGAACTCAGGTCCTATTCACAATCAGCAAGTGCTTTTTACTGTTGTGCTATGTCTTCAGCTTGTACCATTATTTGTAGTGAAGGCCAAGAAAGAAACAATGCTAAGACTTTTAAAAATATTGTAATTGGCATGGGAGCTTGAAGTTCTAGATCGTGAAAGGCGGGGGGAGAATAGCTCCCTATTCTACACCAGTTTGCACTACATGGGGAGTTTTATGCTGACCTGAGTTTTAGCATGGATTGTTGTCTTAGAAATAATTTTTAAAAATCACTGAAACAATGAAATATCAATTTTTCATCAATTACAGTGCCTCTTTTATTATGTCTGCTAATGCTGCTGTTCTTTATGTTTCTGCACAGTTTTGAATTAATTTGTTGGGTCACTTCTTTTTATCTTGAATAACTAACAGAACATAATATTTCTAAAAATAAAAACTTGGTAATAAGTTCTCAAAATTAAAACAAAATGTTTGTTTATATGAAAAAGCTACCCATATTTTCATTGGAAAATCTGGGGAATGGTTTTGAACATGAATGTGGAAAACATAAGCAAATCCTTTTTTTAAAGACTCTTTGTAACTTTGAGGATCTAAGGCATTCAAAGTATACTTGTACAGATCAAAACCTTTTTTCCAAAGCCACATATCCTTAGACCCAAATTTTGAAGTAAAGATACTACTATATTGATTTAACTTAGCAGCCTATACAATGAAATATCTTTCTGTACTTAGTTCACTCATGGTCAAAAATTCAAAAGAAACACAATAATATACATAAGAATGTCAATAGTAACTATTAGAAAGAATAATAATAATAAAGTAGATTTAATGCAGTGGAAATTGTCAAAGAATAAACATCATAAACGCAGCCAGCAAACATGTGAGGCTTCAACTCCTGGTGGCTCTGCTGGGAAGGTGATAGAGTTGGAAACACTGCCATTGTTTAGCTCAGCTTTGAAAATTAGGAGAAAAAAATATTTCCATTCTACCCGTCCCTCAGGCAATCTCTCCAGGAATCTTTCATAGCAGAAGGGCAGGTGTGACAGGACAAGGCCAAAGTCAGGCAGGTCTCCTCCATAACGACTATGATGTGAACTGAACATCACAAAAGGAGGGCAGAAGGGAGCGGGGAACACAGGCTGCCATTGCGTTTCCGAGCTTCACTCTCCAACCCCAAAAGAGCATTATTTGAGTTGTAGACAGCTTGTAAAAGCATGTATTACCAGACTGGATAGAAGAAGCACTTTGGAACACAAATTGGGGGATTTTGATCCAAATGACCACTTAAGGGATATCTACTCTTACAAAGATCGTTGTCTTTTTATTTTTTCAATATTTATTTATTTATTTATTTATTTATTTATTTATTTATTTATTTATTATGTATACAATATTCTGTCTGTGTGTATGCCTGCAGGCCAAAAGAGGGCATCAGATCTCATTACAGATGCTTGTGAGCCACCATGTGGTTGCTGGGAATTGAACTCAGGACCTTTGGAAGAGCAGGCAATGCTCCTAACCGCTGAGCCATCTCTCCTGCCCCCTTTTTATTTAAATAAACTGAATAAACTACCATTTACAAACAGAACACTACCTGGCATGTTGAAAACCTGTTAGCACATGTATGTAAACAAAACACATGAGCTATTATTTCTCTGAGCTCAATGACTTTCCACATGTATTTTAACAATTCTTCCAATCTGGAGTGCTTATTGCTGTTAGAATCCAGGTTGACTCACTGAGACATCAAAAGTAACATATGTAACTGCCAGTTTCTGAGGTGAGGAAGGGTCAGAAAGACTGGAGGGTTCATAAATTTAGTTCTAAAGCCAAATAACAAGTTTCTTCATATTCTAGCACAAATGTGGATAAAGAGAGGTTTCATTTTTCCAAAGAAGAAAGCAATTTTGAATATGTTTCACTGATTTATAATACTTGGATAGTTTCACAATCTGTACGACTTTCCATCTAATACTACCCATGGGCAAATAGAAGCTTTGATTCTTTCTTTCCCTTGGCTTCACCCGCCCCTTCTTCTGCATTCTCTGTTTCAATGCTGGAGATTAATCACTGAGCCTCATGAATCCTAGGCAAGGACTCTACTTCTGAACCACATTCCCAACCTCAAGCTTTGCATTATGCGAAGGTACATAGGGGCCCTGGAAGAACCTGAGGCTTTGCTCAAACCTTTTTATAAAAATGATGTTAGGCTGCACAGTGGTAGCACACTTCTTTAATAAGAACTCAGGACGAAGGGGCAGGTGGATCTCTGAGTTTGAGGCCAGCCTGGACTACAGAGTGAGTTCCAGGATAGCCAGGACTACACAGAGAGACTGTGTCTCAAAAACAAAAAACTCTAACAAACAAAGGAAGGATGGTATTAGGATACAAAAGAGAAACAGAGACAGGGAGAAGCAGGAAGGATCAGGAGCATGCACGCGTGCACACACACACACACACACACACACACACACACACACACACACTGAAACTGCAGGAAGTTCCTGGAAACTGCTGTCACTTTGAATATGAGGTTGCCATTGGTCCACTTCAAGTTTCATTCATAACTCAAACTTTTCTAACTCTGTTAAGCTTTATTATTGTGTCATTAGAACCCAATTTTTCTTCATGGATGTAATTCAAGGCCATGGGATTTTAAACACAAAAAATACACTGATATTCCATTATACTACAATGTTTAATCATTACATTTGCACAAAGGACACCATAATAAATAAAATAGACTTTCTATTTCTTTCACACAAAATAGTATCACTGTGGAAAATACATCTGCTAAGACAAATGTTTCCTCAGTACATCAGTTTCCAAAGTTGCTCCTGAAATGACCACTGTCCAGCCAGTAGGAAGAGAGACAGAGCACATGACAAGAACATTTAAAGAAAAAACTGTGGAATTGCACCTATCATGCCTACATCTGAACATACATATTGTTCAGATAGCCACAAATGCCAAACAGAGCTGGAAAACAGAGCAGAAAATGCTCTATATATTCTGCTACTAAATACAAAAGGATGGACAGCTGTGGAAGGCTCTGTCCATAATGGCAGTAGGCACCATAACTAAGTGACTACCAATGTGAGAGTCTCCTTCACAAGGACTGTTGGTGACAATGATTGATAGTGGAAATTTCCACCTCTGTAGAGGAAAGTGACCAGCACATATTTTGTTCCAAAAAAAATTGCTGTAATTATGAAGCCAGAACCTTCTGCTTTCTATTTCTGTAGAATTGCTATGACCTCAGAATTGTGCAACAACAGTATAATAGTTTATTAAATTGTACCCTGCTCAGTTTACATGTTATACTGAGTTCATGAAATTTCTCAGTGAAATATATTAATGTCTTTACACTTGAGGGGGGGAAGCAATACGAATGTTATTTTGCTTTCAATATAAAGGATTTTCCACAGACTTGAGTACTTGGACTTCTGAAACATTGCAAAACTGTCTGGCAAGGCTGTAGTATCTTTGGGACTTGGTGTCTACCTGGCAATTGTAGGCCACTGTGGACTGGTCTTGAAGGTCATATCTATTTTTGATTATGATACAGCTTTCTCTTTCCTGATCCTCCAAGATGTGAGCAAACCATGCCTCAAGATTCCCCTATCATACCTACTCTACCTCTGAAACTGAACCCAAACAAGTCTGCCCTGTCTTAAGTTGCTTACTCCCCTCCCGCCTTTTGGTAATTTTTTCATTGCAAAGAGAAAAGGAATTAGTACAGAGGGTACTGAGATGGGGTTGACTTCATCATTCACATTTGTAAAGTTTCTATCCCTACAGCTGCATAACCAATAAATCCAACTATAACTGAAAAAAAAAAAAACCCGAATCACTAAGTATTGTTTTGGTTTCTAGG